TACCAAGGTAAAACAGGAAATTCTTACCTAGCATGCTGCATGTAGTCCAAATAAGACAGTTTGAACAAGTAAGACAATTAATTTAATTAGGCATTCTTTTCTAAGCTAACAACAGGCTTAAATAGCAAGTAATAAACAGGAAAGGAAACATACTAGTAATTACATAATGAAAACCGGATTTTCAACAATTAGCACAAGTACACACTCGTCACCTCACGTACATGGCATTTCAATTATCAACAAGGTCAAATCCTAAGGGGAAGGTCCCCCACACAAGGTTAGGCAAGCTATTTACCTCGAACCAGCTCAAAATCAACCCGAAACCACGCTCTTGCCATGAGTACTCGACTCCAAATAGCCCAAATCTATTCAATTCAATTGCATAATGTAAATAACATTTCAAGTATCTAATTCTACAATTAAATTCTAAGCTAATACGTAAAACTAAGTAAAATAACCAAAATGCCCCTCCGGCCCACGTCTTGGAATCGGGTAAAATTTATATTTCCAGAATCCTCATACTCTCACGAGTTCATTCATGCCAAAAGTACCAAAATAGGACCTCAAATGGCCCCTCAAATCATCACTCAAAGGTCTCTAATTAATCAAGCTCTAACCCCCAATTACCACTGATTTTTCTTAAATTTTCATGACTATAATGATAAAAATCACTCCAATAACGTGTTTAAGGACCAAATACCTTACGCCAATGAATTCCTCTGAAAATCTCCTTTGAAAATGCTCCCCAAGGCTTCTTCCCGTTTGAAAAGAGGTGAAAATAACTCAAATTTCACGAAGGCAACTATTTATATGTTCTGTCCAGTTAATCCGCTTCAGCAGCTCTGGGACCGCACTTGCGGTCCCAGTTTCATGAGGACATGGTCGCATCTGCGAAATTTCACTTAAAGCCCAGCTTCCGCACCTGCGGTTACCCTTACGCAGATGCGGTGCCGCTTCTTCGGTAAGCTCCCGATTTTGTGGTCCCTGATGGCATCTCCCCTTTCCGCTTTTGCGATGACTCCGCCTCTTCTGAGGTTCCGCACCTGCGGGACCCAACCACAGGTGCAGTTATGACAAAGATCAGCAGCTTCAGCTGCTTCAAACCACTTCCAATTCTTCCGACAACCCTCCGAAATCACTCCGAGGCCCCCGGGATTTCAACCAAAAATACAAACAAGTCCTGTACCACTATCAAAACTTATACCAATCCTCAAAACACCTAAAACAACATCGAAACATCGAATTAACCACGAATTCAAGCCTAAGAACTCCAAAAACTCTCAATTTACGCTTTCGATCAAAAAGTCTATCAAACCTCGTCCGAATTACCTGAAATTTTGCACACACATCACATTCGACACTACAAAGCTATTCCAACTTCTGAAATTCCATTCTGACCCTCGGATCAAATTCTCACTATCGAACCAGAAACTTCAAAATTCGACTTTCGGCATTTCAAGCCTAAATTAGCTACGGGCCTCCAAAACACCATCCGAACACGCTCCTAAACCTGAAATCACCCAATAGAGCTAACGAAACCATCAGAATTCCATTCCGAGGCCGTCTTCATACTGTTCCGACTACAATCAAATCTCCAAAACTTAAGCTCTCATTTAGGGACTAAGTGTCCCAAAACTCTCCGAAACTCCAAATAATTCCCCTGACAACTCACAACAGCAGAAACAAACACGGGAAAAACAGTTAATAGGGGATCGAGGCATTAATTCTTAAAACGACCGGCCGGTTCGTTACAAACGTAAAGCCCCCTACCCCGATTTGGGTTTATTGTGCCTTCTCTATTGGGCCTCTACACAGTATAATTTGAACATTAACTGAAATAGTAACCCATATAAGATAAAAACTTTAAATAGCCATATTTTACTTTTATTACCCGGTTTAAACAAGGGATTTTGGCATGGTGAGACAACGTATTCACATAATTAGCAAAAGATAATCCTAGTTATAGATATTGACATCAAATAGCCAATAATGTATATCACAACAATAATGTGTATATCACAACTTTTTCTTCTTCCTTTGTATATCAACATGTATATCAAAATTTTATTTTCCTTCTTTATATATCTAAAATATGAAATATAGTTATTTAACATTTATTGTTGCCTTTTTGTCAATGTATATCACAATAAAAATAATTATGTTATTTGTATATCGCGGTGTATAACACATCAAATGTATATCAAAAATTTATTTTCTTTCTTTATATATCAAAATGATATTTGCTCCTATAATTATACTTATTATTGTTATATTGTAAAACTTGCTCTAAACCTGTTATATCAAAAAAAAAATTCCTTCTTTGATCAATAAAAAAATTGAAATAAGTTTATTCAGATTTAATTTCTCTCTTTTAAAATTAGTTAGGACGATTTGATTCCGATTTAACCTTTTATTCCCTTATCTAACAATGTATATCACGATATACAACATGATATACACATGGGTACACATGATGATATACATAAATATACACCACTGCAAACACACATATTTTCTTTTTGACAGTTAAGAAGAAATTGGAGTCTGCCAAAGGGATACAAATTAAATTGAACAAAGCAATAATCGGATGAAGACAAGAAAGAAAACTAGATAAAAAACAAATCTTTGTACAGAATTGCCGTTGTGATGAGAAGATCTAAACTTCTTAGAAAAATGCATTCTTCAACCATTACAACTTTTCAAACAATATCAAAGAATACATGCCCTTCCAAATCCAGATTGAAGACTCAAATTTGTTAAATTGAAGAAGAAGAAAAAAAAATTGAAGAAGAAACTTGGAGAAGAAATACAGGGAGAGAGAATGATAAGAAACTAAGATTATTTAAAATTTGGCTATTTGATGCCAATTTTTTGGGGTTATCTTTGCCAAACCTAATATAAAGATAAAATATTGCCAAATTTCTTTATTTGTTGTCATACCATGCCATTTTTGTACCTTACTTTACTTTTTTTTAAGGGAAAAGATTCAAAACTCCCCCTCTACTATTGTTTATTGGTTGCTTGTGCCACCCGTTACACTTTTCGGTCATTCTCGTCCCTACCGTTAATGAAGTTTGAAAAAATACCCCTAACCCTAACGTTTTGACACTGTGGCAGCTGACCATATGAATTTTATCCAAGTCAGCTGCCATGTCAGCTTCCATGTCAGCGGTCCCACCAAATTAAAACCCCATAACACCCATTTCATACCCGTTTCCACCCGTGACCTGTTTTCCCACTAAATAAATAAGATAGACTCGTCCAAATTAGCAAAGAGTGTTATTTGGTCTGCATCCGTTCGATAGAAACGAGAGAAAAGAGTGTGGAAGGTTCAAAAGAAAATCCTCTTTTTTCAGTGTTTAATGTTGTCCAAGGTACGATTTTCCCCCAAAATCTGAACTTTTCTACTAGTTTCATATGCTTGTTGTTTATAAATGAAGTATTTTTGTCTTAGGGTTCGCATTTCTTTTATGTTAAAGTTAGGATTTTTAGACTATGCTTCGTGGTTTAGGGTTTTTCTTGTCTCAGATATGTGATTTGTCATTTAGGGTGTTTCTTGTCTCAGATATTGACTGGATTTTTGTCGTTGTTTGTGTTTGCATGTGACTTTTACCTTTATACCCTAATTATTTATCTGATTCTACTGGTCGGTTAGGGTATATTGGTGGAATTGATGTTATTTAGTACTTATTTTAGAAGACATTTCTCTTGTTTAGGATTTCAAGTATGTGTGGTCCCTTTTGTTTTTTAAAGATGGGTCAATTAGGGTTTTTTAACTGAAAAAGGATTTGAGCTATTTGTTAATAGCTGACTTGTTGTTATTTGGTCCCCTGTTTTACCTGCATTTACTTTGAAGATGATGCTCATGTGGGTCTCTTACATATATGTTTTGTCCTTATTTTATTGTGGTAGGACGCTAAGTTTGATACTTTATTATGTGGTCCCCCATATGCATGCTTGTGTCCGTCTCTTTATCATAGTACCTCATTCAATTTTGTTTTTTTATTCATCTACCTCTGTACCTTTTTCTTATTCTCTTTATTTATCAAACTGTTTGTTTATTCAAGCTTTCCCTTACATGTTTATTTATTATTTCTGTACCTCTTGTCTTTGTTACTTCTTATGCATTTACTATGGTAGGCTGTAATAACTTTATTTATGGTTACTATGAAGCCTTTTATAGATGGTGCTAGTTGAGTTAGTTTTTCATCATGGTGGGGAATGGAGTAGTAAGCCACGCCTGATATATAAAGAGAAGTATGTGCACATCAATAAAGGTTTTGACTCTGACTTACTCTCTTATGCTGATTTAGTTGATGAATTTGATATCAAGTTTGGTTATATAGGGGTGCAACAATTAATAGTAAAGGGTCCTGCTGTTAAATATTGTGAAATAGATTAGATTGTTGGGATTAGGACTCTATCGGACTTTGTTAATGAACAATGTAATGTTATTAATTTGTTTGTTGTAGAAGAGTGTGAACCAGAAATTGATGTACCTAATATAGTCACTCACAGTGAGTCACACACAGTAGAAGTTGAAGCTACTACTGATTGTAGTGATAATGATAGTGAGGAAAATGATTCTGCTACTGATTCTGATTCTCCTGAATTAAGTTCTGATGATTTGGAGCATCTTTTTTTTACAAAAGAGGAGGGTCATCAATGATAAGTTAACTGACTATAAAGAGTAAGATAGGTCAATGACATTTAAAGATATACCTGAAGCTAGGAAAGTGATCAACATGTATTCTCTTGCAAATGGGTATGACTTGCAACAAGTTAAAAGTGACCCAATAAGGCTTAGGTATATTTGTGTTGGTGACTGCCCCTTTGTTTGCCATATATCTAAGGATTCTTCAAGGGGTGAGGTTAATTTCAAGACTTTAGAGCCTGTGCACACATGTGAACCTGCATTTGAAAATTAAAGAGGATACAAATACAATAGCTGATTACTTTTAAAAAGACTTGCAAGATAACCCCAAATTAAGGTTAGAGAGATGAGGGCAAGCTTGAAAGCTGCATTTAATTTAAATGTTAGTGAATCTAAGTGCAAAAGGGCAAAGAAAATAATTTTGGAGAAACTTGAAGGTAGTTTTATAGATGAATATAATAAGCTTGTTGCCTATGCCAATGAATTGAAACTTACCAATCCTGGGAGTGATGTGATAATTAACTTATCAAAAGATGCTCTTGAAGAAGGGAAAATGAGGTTTTTAAGGATGTATATTTGTTTTCAGGCAATGAAGTCTATGTTTAAGAGTGGCTTGAGACCTTTCATTGGATTGGATGGAACATTTTTGAAAGGGAAGGCTAAAGGTCGGCTGTTAGTCAAGATTCTACCAATCATTTTTATCCATTGGCTTGGGCTATTATTGACAAAGAAACAAAACTTACTTGGAAGTGGTTCTTAGGTCACCTACAGGCTTCACTAGACCTCAAAATGGGTGAAGGGATCACACTTATGTCAGATATGCAGAGGGTATGTACTCTTTATTTGTACTGTTATTTTCAATTATTTTGTTGGTTTATTTGTATTGTTATCTGATGTTATTTACTGATTTTTGTAGGGGTTGATTGACTCAATCCAAACTGTTCTTCCAGAGTCACACTTTAAATTTTGTGTAAGACATATAGAAACAAATTGGTGTAAGAGATGGGGCTCTGGTGAGTTCAAAAAATTGCTTTGGTGGGTGCATGAAGTATTTATGAAGGACTTCAAAGATCAGATAAAGAATATGGGTCAAGTAGATGATGTTCGAAAGGAAGCTGTGGAGGATTTGCTGAAGTATCCACCAAAATGTTGGAGTAGGGCATTCTTTGATATTGTTTGCAAGAACCAGTCTGTAGACAACAACTTGACTGAGTCATTCAATGCATGGATTTTGCAAGCAAGGCACAAACCAATCATTAAGATGCTTGAGGATATTAGAATCAAGGTGATGAATATGATTACTGAACATGAAGATGATGTTATGTAATAGGGAAACGAATACAGTCCTAAAACCATGGAGTTGTACAACCAATTCATGAGGATTACATTGAAGTGTCATGTTAATGGCAGTGCAGACCATGGATATGAGGTGACTGAAAGTAGTGACAGACACATTGTGAATTTGAGATTAAAGAAATGTACCTGCAGGGTATGAGATCTTTGTGGCATTCCATGTCCTCATCCAATATGTGCATTATTGCACAAGAAAGTGGACCCTCTAAGTCAGATTCATTGGTACCTTACCAAAGAGAATTATCTCCAAATTTATTCACATAAGTTATAACTAGTAAGAGGAGAAAAGTTCTGAAAAATTGACCCTTCACAATACATGGCTCCACCACCTTTGGTAAAGATGACTGGGAGACCAAAGGTTAAGAGAACAAAAGAAAAAAATGAGGAACTTAATAGGAAAGGACAATGGTCTCAGTCAAGGAAAGGGAGGGTAATGACATGTAACAATTGTGGTGAACATGGACACAATGCTAGAGGGTGTGCAAAGGTAATTAAAACCATAACTTTTTCTATCATTCTTTCTGTTTCAACATCTAACCACTTTCTGTCTTACTAACAACATTCTAAAGGAAAACAGCCCATTGGAGGAAAGAAGAAGGGAAAGCAGACAAAGAGGAAGAGAACTTTACTTGATGAAGCTGATGATAAACAAACAAATTTTCCTCTCCTGTACCAGTTCCACAAGAAGCCATTGATGAGGAAATTCCTTTGTCAGCCCCTCAGCCAAGTTAGCCTACTCAAACAAGCCAATCTAGCAATATGTTGTTTATGCCAACCCCTTCAGTGCACAGGAAAGAGCCAAGCTGCAGTGCCTTTCCAGACTTTGACTACCCATGCTTTGACCCTGAGCCTGAAATAGCTATAAGGCCAAGAAGTATCTCTGAGGTAAAGACTAGGCTACAATTGAGGCAACTACAAAGTACAGCAATTGGAATAAGGACAATCGGATTTGTTGATGATGCCAGTGGTGTGACTGAGCCATCAAACCTACCATTCTCACCAAAGAAGCTGCAATGGAAGGGAAAAAAATTCTATTACTGGTAACCAACTTAACAAGCAAAGATTGGCCAAGTTGAAAGCAAAGAAGGATAATGGGAAGAAACAGACTTAAAGACCTGTTGTTCTGGTGTTCTGGAATGTAGATCAACTAAACTCTATTATTGTTGTATATTTTTGGTTGTGATATAATTACTATTAGCCAAGTAAACTTGTTAAACTTGTGTGGCTATTTAGTTAGTGACCTGTTCACTCGGATGTCATGTTATCACCTAGTTGTGAAAGTTTTTGGGGTGATAATGTGACATCTCCTTGTTTGTGGTTTAATGTAGTTTGAATGTTTAGTTGGAGAAACTTGATGTCATGTTGTCACTTGTTTATATAGGTTTTTGGGGTGATAATATGACATCCCCTTGTGATGAATGAAATGAGAGTTTATGATTTGTTTAAGTGTTCGTTTATGAGTTATAGATGCTACCCAAATTTTGTTTAAAAGTTATTTTGTGAAATGACATAACTGATGTTGTGAAACTATCCAGATTTTGGACCAAAATATTGTGAAACTGTCCATATATTTTTGACATAACTGCTATGTTCATCAACCCATCACATCAACTAATAATACAGAAAATTCATCACAAAAGAACTGGCAACTTCTAAGATTACATTAACTAATATAAGCTCTAATGTAAACAGTTACAAGCTCATAAACTGGAATTACATCAACTAATTCTTGATAACTAATATATTGGAATTACATTAACTAAGATTACAAGCTCTAATATAAATAGTTTAAAACAACATACATAACACCTTCTCTTCCAATTTCAAATGATAATAAAACTGACAACAAAACATATTCATTAGTATCATCAACAAGATTCACCAACATTCACTTCATCATCGATGCCGCAACAAATCCAACAAAAAGTGCCTATGAGATCATAAACATCATCCTTGTCTTCAAAACCTTCTCTTCCAATTTCATTACTTTTGCAGCTTCAGCTTTGTGTAGAGCCTCCATGTCAATTAATTCTTCTTTCAATTTATCCATATCATTTTTAATCACTTCCCAAGATGATGTTACATCTTTAGTTGTAACCAAATCACTATTCAATGAGATTTCATCTTCCCATTCAAAATAACCACAAGAACGATTCTATCGAAAATAAAAAAATCAGAGAAGAAACTAAGATCGTTATTATTAGACTATAATTTAGAGCAAACAGTTAATAATTCAGAATTTTTGTTACACAATCACTAACGTTAGGCTTCAGACATTTAAAAAATCGTCTTCGAGGGTTTAATGGAGTCGTTGAAGTGAAGTTATTTGCAAAGATGTCACAACGACACCTAATTTGGGAAGAGCAACTTCCTTGAGACATTGAAGATGAAGGAAAAGGATTGGGGTCGTCTGAGCCCTAATTCATGGTGGGAGACGGGTATGAAATGGGTGTTGTGGGATTTTAATTTGGTGGGATTACGGATGTGGAAGCTGACATGGTAGCTGACTTGGATAAAATTCATGTGGTTAGCTTCCATAGTATCAAAACATTAGAGTTAGGGGTATTTTTCAAACTTCATTAACGGTAGGGATGAGAATGGCCGAAAAGTATAACGGGTGGCACAAGTAACCAATAAACAATAGTAGAGGGTTAATTTTGACCCTTTGCCCTTTTTTTTAACCCTACTCTCACTTTCCCCAGAAAACATAAGCGCTCCCTACATCTCTCCGCTCTCTCAGCATCACCCATCTCTTCTCCCTTCTTCACAATTCTGCTGGCTTTTCTTCTTCTTCTTTTCTTTATTTCCTCTTTCGTCTCTCTCTTCCTTGCTCGTGTCCACCCATTTCTTCCCTCCTTTCGTCACAATTGGGAAATTTTTTCGGGCGATGGATCTGGAATTTCTCTTTTCTGGGTAATGACTGCTACAGATATGTATTAATGTTTATGGATTTTTATAGCGGATGCAAATTTTGCTTGAAATGTTGTTGTGTAGAGATGGAGGCTCTGGATCTGTTTTAGAGGAGTTGTTGTGCTTATTTTTTTCATCCTAATGGTGCTTTTGAGTAAGAATTTTTGTATAGCAATTGCTTATTCATTGTATAACAGTAAAATAAATACTGTATCAGTGAAACTAACACTGTATAACACTGATGTACCTATGTATACACTTTGTATAACATATGTATAATGTATAATTAATATATATTCAGTGCATAATTTTGGAATATATACGAAGTGTGCACTGATCATACAATGATTACATAGTTTATACACTGGTGCTAATGGGAGTGGCAGAGATAAAGAAGAAGATAATGGTATGTTGGTATTTAAGAGTTGTAATTGGTATTGTTCTTCTTCCTTCCTCCTCCTGCAAATCTGTATTTTCTTATTTTGTTGGTTGTTGATCGAGTTTTTTTTCCAGTAATTATTACCCAGTGTAGATTGAAATATTTTTTGGGCAATAAAGGATGAGATTATGATAATGGATATTTGCAGAAGATAAGGCAACTTGTAAAAGGAACTGTTTTTTTTAGTTGATAGAAGGGGCATTAGCCGACTGGTTATTTTCAGTTGAAGAAAGTTTATGGCTAAACAGGGAAAAGGGTGACAGCCGCATGGCTATTTATGTTTTTTCCCATATAATTTCGGAATAATATAAAGCTCTTTTTTTAACTTTTAACTCAAGCCAGAAATTGTTATATATATA